CTCACTCGACTCTGCTGCCTTTAAAAATTAAGCGTAGGCGGCCCAACTATTGCTTGACAGATCACGAGGAAAAGAACGAATGCGCACCCTTTTACGCTAGCTACATTGTAGTTCTATCGGCGGGCGCTCTTAGCAAAATGCGGGTTACCTGTTGTATTACCTCAATGATCCCTTACCTCAGGGGATCAAAAACTAGTCTCTAGTTTTTGATCACAAGGGATCATAAWTGACGTAATACCACAGGTAATCCGCAATTTGCTAAGAGCGCCCGCCGATTACWTAAAGGCGTGGAAGCGTGCGTATTTGTTCTTTTCTTTCTCTAAAGCAATTGTTGGGCGGTCTATGAATTAAGGCCCGGTTCCTCTCTATTTGAGAAAGATCGATGCTGTCAGCTATTCTGACTTTTTCAATGAAGGGAAACATTAAAAAATGCGAAAAAAAAAGAAATTTCTTTATTGTCTTAAATATTCTACTTGATCAATACATATGACATTRGGTAATGGTTTAATTAGTAAAAATGATTAATATAGGTTATTAAGCAAATCATATACAATGTTTGTCTGTGAAATAGCTAAAACTTAGTAAATAAAAAAAATACTGCAAATAATTGTACTTGTTCCACGAGACGCACAAATTAATATATTTATTTCCGTTGAGAAAGAGCCACTATAAAATCAGCTGGTCGTAATGTAATACCAAATATTGCATCATYRACACTAGGTAGACCAGCATGCTTATCGGCCACCACGTTGAACTTCTGCAAAAGGTGAGATGTGAAMAGAAATGTCTGCATCTTCGCCAAGGCTTCTCCAGGACACGAACGATGACCAATTCCAAACGCCAACATATTAGAAGTGCGCTTAACACTGAAGGAACCATTTTCGTCAAGGAACCGTTCGGGAAAGAAATCCTCAGGGTTCTCCCACACCTCAGGGTCATGATGGATGCCATATATGTTCATTAACACTGTAGTACCTTTAGGCACCTTGTAAGGACCGATTGAGGTATCAGTGATGGTCTTGTGGGGGATCCCCAGGGGCATGACACTGGAATACCGCAAAACCTCTGTGGTGAAAGCTTCCAAATAAGGAAACCTCCGGCGGTCATCCCATTTTGGCGGGAGAACTGGAACGGCTSCTTCATCGATTTCGTGCTGGATGCGTCTCTGGATCGAAGGATACTTGGCCAAGAAATATAAAATCCATAGAAAGTTCATCGTTGGGGTTTCGCTACCAGCCATAATAGTATCATTCATTGTCATAATAATGTGGTCAGCGGTCAWGGTCATTTTGCTTTTGAAAGGCCCATCAAGAAGGTCATCAWTGCCCGCGGGATTCTCGCGGGATACCTCTTGCGTCATACTGATTAAGGTGTCAGTTAAGTCACAATTGTTCGGCACATTGTGGTTTTTGGAGTCCAATTTATGTTCGTTTAATTTTTTGTTAAGGATTCTATCACGAACCYTGGCAGCTTGCTTCACCYCCTTGATGATTGTGAACGGAAAGTGCTTCAAAAAGGGGAACGCGTCAATAAAACTTGTAGCTGCCAGACCCTCAACGAAAATGGTCAGCGCATGCATTAATTCCCAGAACTCTAAATCCGTTGAGTCCTCGTAACGTTTTCCAAACGTCACGGAGGACACAATGTTCCCAAACGCAAAAGTGACATCTGATCGAGTGTTGATGTTTACGCCACGCGTTTGGGCCATGCGAGATATCAGCTCGTTAACCTCTACGGTAATCAAACGCTCCATTTTATTTTCCCGGATGTACTCTTTAATTTTTGACGAGATTGCTTTGGTTTGCGTCTTCCAAATGTTTGTATAGGTCTGAAAGCCTACGCCTTTACCATTTCTRGAAAATATGCTTCCCACATAGTGCTCCGGTCTTCCAGCAAAGTCAGSCTTTCGTTTGAGCATCGCTTCTTTGGCAAATGCGCAGTTATTAATCACAACAACGCGGTTCCATCCCATCCAAAGACGATAAACGGGGCCATACTTGCGTGCTAGTCTTGCCATATTCAGGTATGGCTTGCTGGAGAGGAGATGGAGGTTTCCGATGAATGGAAGTGGAAATGGTCCTGGTGGAAGCTTTGACGACGCTTCACGGTAAACATGAATGAGGTAATACAATGTGTATAATGTGATAGCAAGGAATATCAAGAAATACATTATATCTGAAGAGGAAGACGGAACGTGCAAGGAAACGTTCTCTGATTCTTTGAAGGACGAAATTATGAATCGTTCCAGAACAGTGATAATCTATGTATCATTGCTTGTTAATGCCCACTTTTGTKTTTTAAGCAAATAAATAATTGAACCGCCCACGTTTTCAGCTTGACCTCATTAAAAACTTAATCCGGTATGACATGGAACAGAAACACGAGGGCTTTTAAAAATTGACCACCAKCATCAATGATGAACTTCCTTGAGGTCTACACTTTTATAGGGCCAAKCTTCAAGTTTACTCTTTTAAGAATTGAGAAATGACTTGAATCAGGTAGCTACCTTAACAAGAACAAAGGGATTACACAAGACAAAATAAAAAAAGACAAAAGAGTTTGTCTACCATTTTATAATGAGTTCGCGCTATTGAAAACACATGCAGATTTTACTCGGTGCTCAAAACCAGGTAAACCAGCACGGAGGTAATGGTCTAAATGGTCTTAATCACTGACTTTAATCGAGGTTGATAACCTTTCCAGGCACCAGTCTAGATCTCGTAGAGAAATTGACCTCTATTTTAGTTTGCGTTGAATGTTTTTAGATTGATTGTATTGACGCCGATAAATATTTAGACAAAATTATGCTAATTAATCAATTAAAACCTTTGAAATTTATATCAAGTAGATAATCGCCGATGCAGAGCGCTGATAGATACAAAAGACCCCGCRTATTAAACGCTGTGGACACTGAGAGACTCTCTTGGCTTTTTGAAAATGTGGTAAAAAGGGGCTTCATTTGAATCAGTGCATATGTTAAAAAGGATTTGAGAATCAGGAAATKTAATTTCAAAATCACCCACCCACACTTTCAAAGTCTAATGGTCGGCTTCTAAAGCGAGACCCTGATATATTTGGCAAAAACGAATTTCGACAAAATGCGATTTCCGTTGCCTAGGTAACGTTAATGGAGCTTAATATTATGCCAAACAAAACTTTGATCAATGCTTTATTACTGGTCCAACAACGGGGCCTTATATTTTTATATTCAGTCAATGAGATAATAACTATTTCAAAGCACCTATTATTTCGTGCAGTTGACGGTATTTACTGGTTATATTACTATTTGTGTTAAGTAGACTTTAATTAACGATTTTAATAAATAATTTTTTAATAAATTTTTTTATAAATTTAATTACAGCCACCAAGTATCACGACTGCAGACGCGTACCCAGTCGTTTCTCTTGCTCGTTTTATGGGTCGCCTTGCTTCAAGGAAAGTCCGTCTTTCGGCTTCCCTTGATCCATAGCGCGCGCCAGAGAAAAAATAAGAGTGGCGACCTGGTACGAGTCTATTTCGACTGCTGCACAAATTGTCACACAGGAAAAACCAGGAAGATTTATAAAAAACATCCTGCACGGCCCGAAGAAAAATTCCTACAAGGCAAATTATGAAAAATATGCACTAAAATCAGTTTTGTAAATTTACAGCAAAAATTACAATTTGCACGGACAAAATCTTCCAGCCCCCTCTCCCTAAAAATTCTGGTCCTGTGCCTTGATTACAACTAGCTAAAATATTGGTAGACTCGATTACTTATTTATGCAATGTAAAGTCATGAAAAGCATGAACGTATGCATTAAGTGTGATTATTTTTATTATTTTTTTATCGCTATTGAAATTCCTGAACTTTTTACGTCACCTTGATTGATTTAAAAAGCATTGTTGGATCAGTTAATGAAGAAAACATAAGAAATCCGCCATGGTTTGTCCCAAACATATCCTACAATGCATTGCGTGTGCGGTATATGACTAAAAGCTCCAGAGGGCTATTGAAATTTCTGACTGTCGACTAAGAAGAGAAACCGCTGCCTCATGTACTGATGTCCATCGGTTTTAAAACCCAAAGCAGTTAATGTCTATGTACATAGGTCATAAA